CTTTGATTATTGTTGGTATGGCTTATATATTGACAAAAGAAGGAGGCAGACAGATGTCTGCGAGCGTAGCGGAACGAGCGTAGCGAGCGAAGCGGAGCAACCGAGCGAAAAGTTGGACAAAGAGACTCAAGATATGGTGGAGATACCTTATGCCAGTGCTGTTGAATGTCTGATGTATGCCATGATATGTACTCGTTCTGATTTAGCTCATGTTGTTGGTCAAGTTTGCAAGTATATGTCTAGGCCGGGTAAACAGCATTGAGAGGCAGTCAAATAGATTTTCAGATATTTGAACGGTACTGCGTGACATGGTATTGTGTTTGGAGATCAGCGGTTGGATCCTTTAGTTGTAGGATATGTGGATTCTGATTATGCTGGGGATTTGGATAATAGGAGATCTACCACTGGGTATGTCTTCACTTTTGGTGGAGGGCCTATTTGTTGGAGGTCGAATACTCAGCTTATAGTTTCTCTATCTACAACTAAAGTTGAGTATATTGCTTTGGCTGAAGCGGCAAAGGAGGCAGTGTGGCTTGCTGGATTGGTTAGAGAGTTGGGTATTCAGCAAGGTGGAGTTCTATTATATTGTGACAATCAAAGTGCTATTCATTTGGTTAAGATTCAAATATTTCATGCTAGGACGAAACATATTGATGTGAGGTTCCACAAGATTAGGGAATGAATTGCTTATGGTGATATTCAGTTGGAGAAAGTTCATACTAAAGAGAATGCTGCTGATATGTCGACTAAGACTGTTACTTCTGACAAATTCAAGCATTGCTTGGATTTGTTGAATGTTTCTGCATGCTAGAGTTGCATGGTACCCCCGGTCTGCTTGGTGTGTCTCGCAGATGTGCTTGCTATTATGTTCTCCTAAGGAGGTGATATATCGCCAAGGTGGAGATTTGTTGGTATATGGCTTATATATTGACAAATGAAGGAGGCAGACTGATGCCAGCGAGTGTAGCGAGGGAAGCGGAGCGACCGAGCGAAGCGAGTGGAGCGGAGCCTGTTGGCTGTTCGCAAAATAATTTTACTACCCGCAAGTGTACGGAGTAGCTGCAGAAAGCGGCGAGCAAGGTCGTATTCCACAGAGACTGCTGTAAAACTAATTAAGTACCAAAATA